ACAAGTGCATCGCTAGTAGTAACAAGTGCCTTACTAGTAGTAACAAGAAGCTAGTAGAAACAATAAGCTAATAGCTTCTTGTTACTAGTAGTACGGCCAGGTGCCCCTAGTAGCGTCCTTTGCTCCTAGTAGCGATGCCAGGAGCCCCTAGTAGCTTCTTGTTACTAGTAGCTGGTTCTGTGTGGCACAGTTTCTTGCAGTCCAACCGGCATATTTATATATATATATACATCTCTCTCTCTCTCTCAGAGGTTGGAGGCCATCGCTTTTAGACTCTCTCTCTCTCTCTCTCTTGGACTTTTTCTGCGGATGTCTTCCGTTTTGCCGGCTCGAAAGCCTGCTCAAGGAACATGGAACACCCACGCACACGCCGCTCTTCGTTCAGACTTCCTGGGCACCGCCAAGCCCGCCAGTTGGGCGGATCGTTGCTCCACCGTTGCTGTCGCTGTTGCGCTGGTGCTGTGGTGAGCAAATCGCACTTGGGGCACCATGAGTCCGTTGAAAAAAAAACATGAATCCGAACGTATTATTTGTAGAGATTGACACTTGCTCTGCCTCTGCCGGATTTCATCCGCTTTCTCTCATTCCATTCTGACATCATTTCATGGGGTGTTTGTTCCAAGCAGGAAAATCCCTCAAACACCAAGAGAATGTTCCATACCGTTCTTCACAGGTCAGAACCCAGCAAACCCTGCCTCGCAGGGTCTTCAAGTGTCAGCGAGTGAGACAAAGAGCAGCAAAAATCACACTCCAACAGTGCTCCGAAATTGAAAACGGATGCTACTAGTAACAAAGGGCATCGCTACTAGGAGCAAGAAGCTATTAGTAACTCCTGGCATTACTGCTAAAAACCAGGACGCCACGAATGTAACCAACATGGACGAACCGCAAAACTGGCTCAAATGGAGAACTGGTTGACCGAGTGGCCGAGTTGTGGAAGGAAAGGGTGTGATGAGTTGAGCACAACCGAAGAAAAGGCGCAAAGGAGTGGTCTCATCGAGGGATCGTTTTGAAGTACCAGTGATCTTTGTTACTAGTAGTAACAAGTGCATCGCTAGTAGTAACAAGCGCCTTACTAGTAGTAACAAGAAGCTAGTAGAAACAATAAGCTAATAGCTTCTTGTTACTAGAAGCGATGCCAGGAGCCCCTAGTAGCGTCCTTTGCTCCTAGTAGCGATGCCCTTTGTTACTAGTAGCTTCTTTGTTACATCTTCCCGGCCATGAACACTGTGACTTCTACGACCTTGTGATCTTTGCTTGAAGCAACTCGCAGTCCCTATGACACAGAACTGCACCGCCCTCAACATTTCGCATTACGACATTCTGCACTCAGGCTTCGGGCCGAAGAATGCGGGAAAATGGCAACGCATAGTGCTGCCATCATGCAAACACTTCCGAGCGTGCCGAAATCATGCTGACTCGTGACAAAGACCTGGGTTACTGGGTGATGCTTTCAACTGTGGAAGTTTTTGGTGTGCTCCAACCTGCTAGCGATGGCCTCCACCCGAGTAGCGACGGCCTCCAACTACTAGCGATGGCCTCCAACCTACTTGCGATGACCCTAGTAGCGTTGGCCTCCAACCTACTAGCGATGGCCTCCAACCTACTTGCGATGACCCTAGTAGCGTTGGCCTCCAACCTACTAGCGATGGCCTCCAACCTACTCGCGATAGCCTCATCCTAATGGCAATGGCCTCCAACCTACTTGCGATGGCCTTCAACCCACTAGCGATGTCCTCGATCCTAACAGCGATTGCCTTCACCCTAGTAGCGCTCGCCTCCATCCTAATTAATAGCGATGGCCTCCAACCTAATAGTGACGGCCTCCCACTAATAAAAAAGTAGAGGTATGTAGAGGTTCTCTAGGTGTACAAAGATTGTTTGTGATTCCTCTAATTTCCTATGGCCCTCGTTTTAGTCCCAACGTCAACTGCCGAACGGGCATGTATCTGAGTTCGAAAATGGACATCTCATAAGGGTGGGTATTGGAGAGCCAGGAAACAGGTACAAAACGAAGGCAAAACATGAACGGCGATCTTGACTTGTCGGCTTTTAGGTTTAGACTTGGCACATTTACCATCTATTTCCCTCCAGCATCACCCGTGAGCTCCGCAGGTCTTGACGGATCAGCCTACTGCTTGATCCAGGTGCGACTGGGTTTTTTTCTGCTGGAACCCGCTGGTGGCTTTCGCCCACGCTAGTAGATGTGACAACTCACTTTGGATTGGATTCGGGCATGTCTAAAACAGCAAGGTAAAAAAACATGGAAGGAAGAAAAGCAAGGAAAATGAAGGCCCAAAGAACGCCAAAGAAGGATAAGCAGGTAGGTACGACATCTTTTGAACCTGAGTTCTGAAGACGCAAGTCAGTGGGGAGCTCACCAAAAACGGCTCCAGCCAGCGAAACTGACAGTTGAACCTGTCCTGGCTAATGGATTAACAGCCTTAGGCTATATAATAGCTTCCCTCCAACTTGATAGCGATGGCCTCCAACCTAATAGCAAAGGCCTCCAACCTGCTAGCCATGACCTCAAACCCAATAGCGATGGCCTGCAACCTAATACCAATGGCCTCCACCCTGCTAGCCATTGCCTCCAACCTGCTAGCCATGGCCTCCAACCTACTAGCGATGGCCTCCAACCAACTAGCGATGGCCTGCAACCTAATAGCGATGGCCTCCACTTTTCCGCTTTTCCGCAAGATACTGGCACCGCAGCTGGTGGCGGGGGTGACCAGAGTCGTGAACTACTCTCTATAGCACTGTGGCATCAACGAGTGGCCCCTGTTTGATAAGGCCTTGCAGCCGTGTGCGTCCATGGAGTCTAAAGTTGAGGCAGTGTTCGGCAGGCACTTGGGCGCATTTAGGCGGTGAGTGCCCGGCACCATCATGAACTTCTGAGAGTCAGACCTGTGCTGACCCCCATCCAGCATTCCTTTGACCCTTGCCTGGTGCGGGGAACGAGGTAGGTGCGGCTGCCTCAACATGTGCGAATCCTGCCGGTTTTCACTAGCTACGAATGCAACGATGATCGATCTTGGTCCAGGAGGCTGGACTAAGCTCAGGCCAAACTTGGCGAGCACTGCTTGTTGGAATAAACTGGATTCCCTGGTGTGCTCAAATGGCTGCGGCATCTGATCTCGAGCCTCAAACGTGTCATTCACAAGGTGCTTGAGCCCCTCTTCCGGCATAGGTGCATGAACATCCAAGCCAAAAGTCTGTCGCAGGGCTTGAACGACCTGAGCACCATGCCACACAGCCTGCAGTTGGTCGGCCTTCCCGTTCGCCAAGGTCGGAATGAGATGTCGAGAGGACGGTGTGAAAGGCAAGCAGGGGAATTGCTGAATCTCCGAAATCTTCACCTGCGGGTGGACAAGCATATCCCACCATCGAGTGCGCTTGGCCGGCCAAAGTCCTGTAGCTGGCAGACCTGTTGCTGCAGCGAGTAGCCAGTGGCCTGACTCATGGCGTGCAGTGTCGACGGAACCCCTGGGGATGTAGAAGCCTCTTTTGTACACTCAATGATCATTGCATCGGGCTGGAACAAATAGCAAGTCTTGAACATGCCTTCAAAGCTTTTGGCTCGTTGATCCAGCTCTTGTCGCCGATCACCTAACAGCGAGAACGGCTGGCTGACAATGCATGGAGTTTCAGCAAAGGGCTCCAAGGCTTGGTGAACTGCAGTGCTGTTTGCATCACCAAGGATCACCGGGACTTGCTTGGCCTTGAGCCAATCTGCATAGCGAGGATTGATCTCGACGTGGCACCGAACTTTGCATTGTATACCAAGGTATCCAGCCGACATGACCGAGAGACCAGCACAATCATCGATCACATCGGTGGAGGTATTACTGTCCAACAGGCCTTGTGGCCTAGACGAGGCAGCTGTGGCATCTACAACCACCTGGTGGCTATCTGAAAGTTGTCGAGCAGCTATCATGGTGAATTGGTCACCGATCAAGCGGGCACCTCGAAGGAAAAAGTGTTGTCCATGGATCCAGGATGTGCAGCTGTGAGCCTCCATCTTCGCGTCAAAAAACCAGGCTTTGCCTGACAGCGAGATTGACCCGCCATCAGGAACCAGTCTTGTCCATGGCTCCGAGCTGCACGCTCCCTCCCAAGCCATTTGCTAGCTCGGGTGCACCTGCTGGAAGGCGCTTGGGCCGACACCTTGCGATGGCCTCCAACCCAATAGCGATGGCCTCCAACCTACTAGCGATGGCCTCCAACCTGCTAGCAATGGCCTCCAACCTACTAGCGATGGCCTCCAACCTACGAGCGATGGCCTCCAACCTACTAGCGATGGCCTCCAACTACTAGCGATGGCCTCCAACCGCCTAATAGCGATGGATTCCAACTTACTAGCCATGACCTTCAACCTAGCCATGGCCTTCAACCTACTAGCGCTGGCCTCCAACCTACTAGCCATGGCCTTCAACCTACTTGCGCCGGCCTCCAACCTAATAGCGATGGCCTCCATCCTACTAGCCATGGCCTTCAACTTACTAGCGCTGGCCTCCAACCTAATGGCGATGGCCTCCAACCTAATAGCGATGGATTCTACTAGAGCTGGCTTCCAACCTAATAGCGATGGCCTCCAACCTAGTAGCGATGGATTCCAACCTACTAGCC